TTTTTGCCATTTCCTTCAAAGCAGCCTGAACTTCTTTCATCACCATAGGCTCTTGCTCATATGTTGTTTCATGAAATTCTTCTGTGTCTTCCAAAGAAAAATAAAGACTCAAAAATTATGTAAAGAGCAAAGGTAATTGATTACGGTCATTTGTGAGTAATAGAATTTTAAGTAATAACCAATAGTTTGATGCAAAGTTAACAAATAATTAAATGACATATTTTTCCCTATAAAAATATCAACTATTATAAATACCTTGTAGTAATTTTAGAAGGCCTGCCAGTATTCTGCTCTAAATAATAAGTTTTATTATTATAAATTATAGAATTATAAGAGTTGACGATTTTGGTGTACATTTAAAGTTCATTTAAATAATAAAGAAACCCTTATGTTATAATCAACCTTTAGAAAATAATTTATATATTGATTTAAAAATTTTGTATGCTGATTGAAAATGGAATTAGTATTTCCTAATCATCATAAAGAGGGACCTCTGGTGGCATAGTGGCAGGAAGCTGTGCTGCAATCCCAAAGGTATGCGATTGGAAATCATCATCTGCTCTGCAGGAGAAGGACGGGCAATCTCTTCCCGTGTGATTAACTGCCTCTGAAAACTTGCTGGAGGTTCAGCTATGGGTTGGTTCAGACTCTATGGTACACAACAGCAACAACAATCACCATTAAAGGCACTGTGATGGTGTAGTGAGTAATATTCTAGGCTGCAAGATTTGTACTCTTAGCTCTAAGGTTCAAATCCAACAAACCACTCCAAGGGCAGATATGGGCAGCCTTCTACCTTAAAGATTTATTGCCTTGGAACCTCAATCAGTGTCAGAGAGTTTGCTGGTGTCTTTTTTACTTTTTTAAAAATTTTTTTAGAGGAGGGGAATTTGATTACCACTAAAGTAAAAACATGACTAATTGATGCAGTATGGTAACAATTTAGTTTTTGGAGATACACATGCATTTCCATGAAGAAGAAAAAAATATGGATGAGGTGGTTTGTGGGCTGACATAAAGAGTCATAATGATGTGACCCATGTGTGTGAGACAGAAGCAGTGCTGTGGGAAAAACAACTCTTACGACAGGCTCCCTGGAGTAGAGCTGCCCTTGAGACCTACACACAAATACATAAAGTTTCGGCTCTTTGATGTCTGTTCTTTGGAGTGTCTATCATGACTCATCCACTCTAGTGCATGAGAACTCCATTTTGAAGTAGGTGAATTATGAACATTAAAATGACAAAAGTAGTTAATATTGAGCAGGAATTTAAAAAAAAGAATTGCTTTCCTTATGATATCTAGGCCATTCCTATGTTAATCTTCAACACTTTTATCTTGCTTGGGTAAATGTTTCATTAGTGTGACATTTCTGGTATTTGTCTCTTTCTAACTTCCTCTCATCTTCCTCTCAGTTACTGTGTTGGTATATACAAAATATTTTCCATTTGGAAACTTAACATAGCTGTATGATAATTATTTTTTTCACAGGTCCAAGCTTCTTAATTTGTATTCAGTCTTAATTTATTTTTTTACTATTATCTATTTACCAGTTGCCCAACTTGTAATAATAATGTCATAACCACACAGATGCAGAACAAATGCTGTTTTAAGGAAATTTAATATTTCTGTGTGTGTCTATGTATATATGTGCATATATACACGTGTATATATACATATATATGTATATGTACACATATATACATCATTTATGTGTGTATATATATACACATATACATACACACACATCTGTATAAATATATAGAAATAATCTGTCTTTAAACTATTAAGTGACCCCATCCCACTGTCTACTTGATACGTCTACTAATTGATAGAGGTAAACTAAAATATAGGCTTGTTGTCAAGCTCCAGAAAAAAATAGTGATTTTCTTCCTCTTGTATTCCTGTATTAACTTTATCTTATATCAAGAACTACTAACTAGAAGCTCTGGTGGCCAACTATGTAGGCAATTGTGCTGCTACCTCAAAGGCAGCATTTCTATGGTGGTTTTAATTCATCTGTGGCTCAATGAGAGAAAGATGGTCAATCTTTTCACGTTAACAAAGTTTTCTGAACCCACTGGAGAGTCAGCAGTGAATTGGTTTCTACTGACATCAATGAGTTTAAAGTATTAACACCACCATTTACTTACATTTTTTGATGTCGTTCTTGTGTATTATTCAGTTGAGCTGACTCAGAGCTGACCCTAGACCAGGTTTTTAGAGACAGTAAATGGCAGGAGAGGAGACCAATTTCGTCTCTCCTATGGAGCAGCTGTGGATTCAAGCCTTGTACCTTTGAGTTGGCAGCACAACTCCTTACCTCTAAGCCACCAGAGCTCCTTTTATCTTATTTACCTGTATAATTATCTACTTTGCATGTTAGATTAAGACCTTATTGTGAAGACAACCTGTAACTTAACTCATATTTTGATACAAAATAGGTCTTGCCTTTGAAAGCATGGGATTGGTAGGTAGCGAAAGCCCCTGGTGACATGGAAAGAATTGTTTTGAGGGTAATTTAAATTTTCCTCTGTTTCTGTGAGTAGGAGATAAGCTCCCATGTTGTCTTCTCCAGGTATGACAACCTTAAACCACACTGCTCTGAGTCACACAGTCTTCCGCTTGCTGGGCATCCCTGGACTAGAAAACCAGCATGTGTGGATTTCCATCCCTTTCGTCATTTCTTATGTCATCGCCCTACTTGGAAACAGCCTTCTTGTCTTCATTATCCTCACAAGACGCAGCCTCCATGAACCCATGTACCTCTTTCTCTGTATGCTGTCTCTAGCAGACATTGTGCTCTCCACCTGCATAGTTCCTCAGGCTTTGGCCATCTTTTGGTTCAATGCTGGGGAAATCTCCTTGGATTGTTGCATCACTCAGGTCTTCTTCATCTCTTCTACCTTCATTTTTGAGTCAGGGATTTTGCTGGTGATGGCATTTGACCGTTATATTGCCATTTGCTACCCATTAAGATACATGACTATTCTTACTCATGCCCTGATTGGGAAAATTGGTGTGAGTATCTTTCTGAGAAGTAATGGTACAATTTTCCCCATAATATTTCTTCTGAAAAGATTAAACTTCTGCAGAAGTAATATCCTCTCCAACACTGCATGTAAGCACATTGTTTTGGCTCATGTTTCTTGTGATGATATCCGAGTAAACATCTGGTATGGTTTTTTTGTACTAATGTCAACCCTGGTCTTAGATGTTATACTAATTTTTGTTTCTTATGTACTTATCTTGCGTGCTGTCTTCCACATGCCTTCCCAAGATGCTCGCCACAAAGCCCTGAATACCTGTGGCTCTCATGTCTGTGTCATAATTCTCTTTTATGGGCCTGGGATCTTCTCAGTCCTCACTCAAAGATTTGGACGCCACATTCCACCCCACATCCATGTTCTGCTGGCCAATGTGTATATTCTTATTCCACCTATGTTGAATCCCATTATTTATGGCATTAAAACCAAACAGATCCGGGACCAAGTGGTTCATATGTTCTTTGCAAAGGACACAAGACCATGACCATGATCTTTTCTTATTAGTTTAGTTCTTTACATAAGATTTATCCTTGGATGTTGATAGGTAGAGTTTAGATGGTAGTCCGATAACTCCATGTGTTAGTGTCTCTAAAACTACACTATGGAAATTTTAGTTCATGTTTCTCCAAAGATCTTCATGTGATCATTATGTATCAGTGTTGTAGGAACTTAGTTTGATCTTTCTCATTCAAACAGTTATAAACTGGATCATTAATCTTTAAAATTACTTATGTCCTTTTATCTCTAGGCCAGAGATAAGAGTGGGATGATTTGGAGACAAAGACCTTTTCAAGGATAATTTCTGAACTATGATTTCCTTTTCTGGTGTTTTAAAAGTAATTGTACTTGTTTTGTTCCTCCTATTAGTAAATTTCTCTAGCCATATTCTTCAGTCATCTGAAATTTTAGAATTTTGCATTTTAGACGAAATCACTTGTGCTTTACAATGAATTTATTTTTACCATTGTATATTTTTGCATATATTATCTATTAAGAAAACAAAAGTCTTTACCACTGGACCAATAGATAAGGATATATGGAGATAAGATTGAAATTGCCAGTGATTTAATTTTATGTTAATCCACAATCAACACCTTAATAAAGAAGTCAAAAGTTGGATCACATTTGGAAAATCTGCTGCAAAGTGCCTCTCCAAAGTGTTAAGACTAAGTGCTTTAAAGACTAAGGTAGACCTAATCTAAGTCATGGTCTTTCAAATGACTTGTTAAACTTCTGAAAGATGGATGATGACAGTGAAAGAATTGAGGCCTTTGAGCTGTGGTGTGAGAGAAGAGTACTGACTAACCCACTGACTGCCAAAAGAACAAACAAGCCATGTCTTGAGAATGTTCAACCAAGGTGCTCTTGGAAGCAAGGATGGTGAAACCTAGTTTACACATACTTTTTTGTATGTTGTTAAGAGGGGATAGGTCTTTGGAGAAGGACATTATACTTGCAAAGGTGGAAGATCATCATAAGAGAGGAAGGCCGTCAACAGGATGGATTGACTCAAACACTGGGCTCAAGTAGATTGGACATAATGAGGATGTGACAAAATATGGCTAGATTCAGACCCATTATTCATAGGCTCTCTATGAGTTGCAGTCAACTCGATTGCATATAATAACAATATATGCTAAAACGTACTAATGGTGAAAATATGTTAATTGTAAAGTGTACATGTAACTTATTTCTCTTTCAAAATATAGAAAAGTCACTAATGCTATGATTATGATATTCTTTTTTATGATTATGACACTTCTTCAACTGACATTCATTTGAAGTAAATATTTAAGAATGCTCCATTGACTAGCCAAAATATAGCATATATGATATAACATGTTATTTAAAAAATGTCACTGAGATGTAAGAAAAGCAACGAGTACATTTAACTAAATTTATTATGACATAAAAGAAAATAAAGCAGTGAGAAATTGAGAATTTTAATAAAATAAAGCAGTGAAAAATTGAGAATTTTAATAAAATAAAGCAGTGAGAAATTGAGAATAACAACATGATCTGAAACTTTGCTCTCAGTATATTCTTTCTTTCCTCATTTTTTAGTGATGTTTACAAATCATGCTGGTTTTCATCTAATTACTCATACATATTTTCTTTTCTAGCATTAATTACCCTTCCAGCAAGTGCATGAGGTCCTCCTCAGTTTCAGCAAGCAGGGTTGTGTCATCTGCATAACGCAGATTGTTAATAGATCTTCCACCAATCC